ATGTCAGCCAAAATGTGAGTGTTACTCTTGAGATTTGTGAAGAGGCTGTAATACCCGAAGTATGACTCCTACTGGAAACCATCGTGGGAGGGGACAGGAGGAAATAAACATGGCACATCAGTAACAAGATCAGTTCTTTTGCTTTTCTATACTTCTGCATTTCTTGGTCTGCAAGGAATGTAGCTGGCTTTAATTGGAATATGCCTTTTAGGACAGTAAGGAGTTGTGTGTGGGTTTTATAGAGTTGGTGGGTTTTTCTTCTTCCAGAGTTGAAGGTGAATATGTTGTCTTTTAGCATGCCTCTTGCAAGTCTTGGCAGATCATTTCACCTCTTTGCCTCAGAATAAGGAGATTTGGGTTTTTTCCTGTTACGCAGTGATTTGGAAGGTGCTTGAACACTTCACAGCAATCCTGAAAATAAGCCTGAAACTGAAAGCAAAGCCGCTTCCTAAACATACTTGTTCTTCTAGTATGTTCTGGGAGGTTTCCTTGAAGGAGCTTAAAAATATTCTCCAAAGCTTTCCAAAATTGACACCTTTGTCAGTTCCTACTCCAAGAAGAAATGCTTCCAACAAATGACATTTCCCTCCCAGTCCCATTTGTTATACAGCTAATGATGTCCCTGTGCCTGCAGGATTGTTTCCTGTGATAATCTATAGGCTTCCGCCTCTTTTCATTCCTGTGACATAGGTGAGATGAAAGATAACAGTCAACAATGTAAGGAAGAGGATCTATAAGGAGGTGTAATGAACAACTGGGGTCATGAGGAAAAAGTGTCTTCACTGCCAGGGGTGATGCTAGGTGTCTAAATCAAAACTAAGACTATTGTTTCCTCTGTTGAAGTCAAACACGGAATTTCTGCTTGTCCTCTTAAGCTGACCAAGTTAAAAAGTACATTTGAATCCAGCCTAGTAAAAGGCTGTATCATGTATTTTGGAGGTAGTGTTCTATGGAAAGTGAAACCACATACTTAGTTTTGTGTGTTTCATATTGCAGTGACCCCAGATCTTGGGGGGCATGCAGTGTGTAAGCCACTCAGTGGTGTGAGACCAGCTGGCAGAGCGTATTGGGCCTGCACACCCCTGGACAAGCTGCAGCAGCATGAAGTTCAGCGTAGGGCCATGTACCTCTCTTCACTGGCAGCCTTTGCTGAGCTCCTTCCTTAGTTGGGTGGGTTTTGGAAACCCAGAGGTAGCCAGGGTAAAGCTCTGCACTGCATACAGACCGGGCTTGTTGACTTCGTTTGACTTGCTTGGTGCTGGAGATGTTGAATCCTCTGAAATCGAGGCCATAGGGGAAACTCACAGTGTGTGTGAGCACGTGAGTGTCTGTTTCTGAGCTCTTTGCAATGAAGTGAACTCCAGCTTTCACTCTCGAGTCATATTTTTATCCTTCCCTAGCAATATCTTACTGGAACTTCATGAGTCTGCTTGAGAAACCAGAAACTGAATATTAAGAAGCCAAGCCCAGGAGTATTTTTACTCTTATTTTTCCTTTTGTAGCTGAGCAGCAGACTCATATGGGGATGTATTTTAAAATCATGAAAAAACCCAGCTGGTTTACAATGCTTATGTTTCTGAAATACGGACAGGTTTGTGTTGACTGAAACAAGAAATGTATTTTGTGTTTTAGAAATGCTTAAAGTGAAATGGTATTGCTTTAGCAGAACCTGTCAGCAGTATCTTAAGTAGCTAGAAGCAGTAGAGGAGGAAAGAGGGAGAGCTAAGCTTGTAAATTAAACCTCAGGCCAGGGGTGGTGGGCCACAATGGTCGTGTCTTGTTCTGTGTTTTCTTTTGTCAGGGTTTTTTTCCTGAACCAGGAAGCTAGAATTCCAAAATCTAGAATTGATTTCTTGATGGTATAAAGCTGCTCGTTACATTGCCAGACTAGCAAATACTTAAAGGTCTGTTTTATGTAAAGATGGAATATTAACCTATTTAAAGGAAGGCTTTGCTTTGTAGTATAAAGATCCTGTAGAAGTGCTGAATTGCCATTTGCTGAGGGAATTCAGACAAGTGGTAGGATTGCTGTTTATTTAATCTATCCACAGTGAGAATAACAACAGTGTGAGGGATAGAAGCAAACAACCTACATGAACTTCTGAGGCAGAAGAGGACTGGCCATCTTTTATTTTGATTTCATTTGAGGATGATAAGGCAGGATGAAAATCACAGTTGTTTCAGTGTTGGCTTTTACCTCCAACTGCAGGAGATTACCAAAGTGAAATTGTTCTGCACAGTCTAATAACTGCATTCTGACCTAAGGGACCTAGGTACGAGAGAGAAAACTATCTTCCTGGTGCTGTGAAGCCTTAATTAATTTTTATGAAGTTTATTTAGGGATCTTTTTGATGAAGTCTCACAGGTGATAAAATTTTAAGCTTTTTGTTTCTGTGTGTAAAGACTGTTCATTATTAGGAGTCTTCAAACATCCAATTTGGCTCACAACTTTGTTCTGTGCTGAGAGCCGAAATAAGGCTGCAGATTATGTAGTGCTTTAACTAGAATTACTTACAAAAAACATCCTGTAGTTCTATAGATAACGATGTTCTCCCGTCCCATTAGAGAATTATTAAGAACTTTTTTCTTGTCTAGGAAAATACGTGTTTGTCCAGCTGTGTGCAGACGTCTTTACTTATGATATATGAGGAGCCAAAGACAAAGCTTAATCTGAAGTACTTTTAGGGTTTTTTTGAAGTTGAGCAAACAACCCTACTCAGCAAGCTTGGTTTAATTTTCACCTTTTTACTGATTTTTATCTACTTGTAGTCTTGAAAAAAGTTTTAACTGGAGAAATAACACATTAATAAAATTTCAAGCTTTAAAAAAAAATGCAATTTCATAGAATCACAGAACCATAGAATGGTTTGGGTTGGAAAGGATCATCTAGTTCCAATCCCCCTGCCATGGGCAGGGACACCTTCCACTAGACCAGGTTGCTCAAAGTTTCATCCAGCCTGGCCTTGAACACTTCCAGGGATGGGGCATCCACAGCTGCTCTGGGCAACCTGTGCCAGTGCTACCACCCTCTCCGTGAAGAATTTGTTACTGATATCCAATCTAAACCTCCCCGCTTTCAATTTAAACCCGTTCCCCCTTGTCCTGTCACTACAGGCCCTTGTAAAAAGTCCCCCCCAGCTTCCTTGTAGTCCCTTCAGGTACTGGAAGGCTGCACTGAGGTCTCCTCGGAGCCTTCTGTTCTCCAGGCTGAACAAGCCCCACTCTCTCAGCCTGTCCCCATAGCAGAGGTGCTCCAGCCCTCTGAGCATCTTCGTAGCCTCCTCTGGACTCTCCAACCGGTCAATATCCTTCTGATGTTGTGGATTCCACAGCTGGATGCAGCACTCCAGGTGGGGTCTCACAAAAGCCGAGTAGAGGGGCAGAATGCCCTCCCTCACCCTGCTGGCCACACTTCTCCTGATGCAGCTTCTGTAGACGCAGCTTTTGCAGCATGCAGTGGGGTAGAGTGA